ATGGTGACACCCGGCATTCTGCCTCAGCGAGGCCCTAAAACAGCCAGGGGACGGACTCCAGTGGCGCCCAATGCCCAGGCTCCGTGGGAGGCTACGGAAATCTAATTGCTGCCTGGCCTCCAGCTGCCAGGCTGCCCTGGCCTCCCTGCAGGTTGGCCACCACCCACTGGGCCAGGAGGGAGGCAGAAGGGATCCACCTCTTGGCCCAAGTTCAGGACCCAGCTCATGGGAGACACTGCAAAGCTGTAGCCCCATCTCTGGCCAGGACAAGGACATCTGAGGCTCACTGAGTGCAGACCACAGGGTCACACCCGACCACCTGGACTACAGATGCTGTTCTACACATGGGGGCTGAGGCATGGACAGCCCAGCTCTGCACAGGACTAGGGGGCAGCCTGGGCTTTGTCTGCAGAGCCAATTTGCCTACCACATCACCACCCAGGGGACCACAAGTGACAGAAGCTAAGCAAGTCCCAAGGGCAGCCTTTACTCTGACAATATGCTAGAGAGGGCCAGGGATATGGCTCAGTGGCACAGCGCCTGCCTGGGAAGTACAAGGTCATGAGTTCAATCCCCAAGATCCCCCCGCAAAAAATTGCTGGGGATTCCTGGCCAGGAAAGCGCCACAGGGCCAGAGTTCTGCAATGGTGCGTCCCCTTGGGCTGGTCACCTTGTACATATAGCCCTACCACTCCCACCCAGCTCCTCCTGGCACAGGTGCCCACCTGGATGGCGCCTGGTACCAACTGCTCTACCTGCATACAGCCTTTGGTAAAGGGGTCTGGGCATCAGATGCAGGCCTGCCCAGCACCATGATCTTGCCTCCTCGCTGTGCTGTGTCCTGATAATGCCCCAGCATCAAGGTGAAGGAGGGCAGGAGTTCTGCTTTGTCACCGTAGGGTTTGCCCCTTCATCACCAGGAAACTACAGACAACCAGCAGCAAAGCAGCCTCAGCCACCGCCCTGGTCCCCACGGCTTTGCTCATCCAGCAAAGATGTCAGGTGGCTTGAGGTGACCAGAAGGTCAGGTCTGGGCGTGGCCAGAACTGCGCTGGAAAGTCCTCGGCACTGCCCACAGCAGTCACATCTGCTCTCCACTTCCTGACAGCAGCAGGCACGACACGGTGTCTCCAAGCCAGCTGGTGAGCCACCCGATTTCCAAGCTACTCCCCACTCTCAGGCTTCAACACCTCTACGCCCACCTGATCCCCCTGCACTCCCGCCTGTGAGTCACTGTCAGCACCACAGCAGCCACTGCCTCGGCCCTGGATGCGCCCATCTCGGAGAGGATCCACGCTTGTCTGGGCTGAGAAAAGTCAAACCTTCGGGGATCCTAACCACACAGGGCCCTGGCAGGGGGCAAACAGTCACGGGGGACACAGCCCACTCAGGGAGATGACGTGGCTAGAGCTGGGGCCTTTTTAATTAAGGTCAAATGTGGGCGCATGGATGGACCCTACTCCAATAGGACTGGGGTCCTCCCAGCCAGAAGACAGACACACAGGCTGCGTGAGGACACAGCGAGGTGGCTGTCTGCGAGCTCAGCAGAGGAGCCCCAGAGGGATTTCCAGCCTCTACGACCAGGAGAAAACACATCTGTTGAAGCCACCTAGCCCGTGGCGTTCTGTCACCGCAGCTATGACAAGGAGCACGTGGCTACGGAGCCAAGGGAAGGCCTCAGGGGCCAGCAGGTCACCATAAAGGCTCTGGGTGGTTGCTGTCCTTGGCGCTGCCAACTCTGCCGAAGGCCTCTGCCCGCTCTGCCAACCCCTCAAGGGCCCGAGGGAGGCAGTTTCCAGGACAATGAGCGACCCTAGGACAGCTGGAGTTCACAACACTGGTTTTGGAGAAAAGGCAGGACAAGGGCCTTCCGAGGCGAGCACCAAGGCTGCAAGGCCCCAGGGGCCCAGCTCAGTCACTGAAACCACGACTGGAACTGTACAGGCAGCCTGAGGGCAGAGCTCCGAGACACAAAGCTGAACAGAACCCAGGGCCCAGGCCGGGACCAGAGAGCTGGAACTACAATCACCACGGGCAGTAACTGGAGACCCAGGAAGCCTCATCAAGGGACCAGAGCAGGAGAGGGAGGGCGAGCTTAGCTCTGGCCGGAAGGGGAAGTTCAGGAAGGCTTCAGGGAGATAATGTGGTCTGCAGCCTTCCCAAGGCTGAACTGGAATTCACGAGCAAGGGCGGGGCTGGGAAAGACGTCCAGCCCTCCCCACGCCAGAGGTGCGGAGCATCTGGAATGCATGGAGGCTCCTGCCTCCACGCCCCACGATGCCATGGGCCGAGGCAGGAAACAGGAGCAGACAGGCAAGCAGGAGCATCCTGTTGGGATGGGAAGGCCCAGAGGAGCTCTAAGACAGCGAAAATGACCAGGCTGCTTTAGTGCCAGAATGACTGCTCAGGCAGCAGGGACAGGGTAAATCAGTGACAAAATCCAAGCATGAACTATGACCCTGTGCTAGGAGCAGGCACCTCTCCCCGGGGAGAGCCCTGCCCCTCCCCAGCCAGGCTCCCCGGACTCATGCACATATTCCTAGAGGTTTATCAAGTGACCCCTAAGAATTCAAGAAAGAATCCAGGCGTGCTGACACCTGCCTGTGATGCCAGCACTCTAGAGGCTGAGGCAGGATGATTGCATATTCAGGCCCAGCCTGGGCTCCATAGCAAGACCCTGCCTCCAAAAAACAAACAAAGAAAACAGAGTACATGCAAGACAGAAATCTGAGGCACTGATGAACTGTGAAGAAAACACAATGTCCCTGGTGGTCACAGACTTGGTTTTGTTTTTTTTTTTAATCTTAAGAAGCAAACTAAAATAAGCCACTGACTTCAACTTTGGCGAGACAAGAAGGCTTGCCGGCAGCCGATCCAAGGTGCACTTTGATGTCTCTCTGGCCTAGTTCCTACCCAGCAAGCCCTGCCACCAGTTCAAAGCCTGCTCTGACACAGAACAGCATAGCTGTCCCCACTTGCATCCCACGGGAGAGCCAGACCCACCCGCCAGTGGGCCACTGCTTCACGGGGATTTAGAAGCAGCACTCGCAGGACAGGCAGGTCATCACTTAGAATCCCGAGCCCGACTATCAGCAGGCCGCTCCTCTCCACCTCCGGTCCCCTGTGTGCGTGACGGCTCACCAGCTCACTAGCACTGTCTTCTGAAGCTGCAGCTGTGTCACACTGACTCACGTCCCCTGGGAGGACCGACCAGAGAGGCAAAGAACTGTGTGACCCTGGACAGGCCACCTGATCTCCTAAGCTACCCAGGTCTCCTCTTGCTCTGTAAACACAGACAGAACAGTAATTCTGTCTTGAGAGGGCAGGAGGAGGTGAGAGAGAAATGTTAAGAGCTGTCATGCACCAGGCCCTGGGCTGGGCCCAGGACTGCAAAACGTAAAAAAAAAATCAAAATTAACCAATGCGAAGCTAAGGGCTCGCACTCACTTTTATTTTAAACTTGTAAAGGAAAGGGGCTGGGGATTTAGCTCAGCGGCATAAGCGCCTGCCTTGCAAGCAGGCAGTCGTGAGTTCGATCCCTGGTACCGATAAAAAGGAAAAAGACAAAAAAACTTGTGAAGGAAAAGAGAGAGGAGCAAAAGGACAGCGCAGAAAAGCAGAAGGAAAAGAGGAAGGGGAAGGAGGGAGAGAGGATCTGGAATTGTCCCTGAGTTGGAATCTTATTTACCCACATCCTGGCTGGGCAGCCTTGGGAGAGTTGCTTAACCTCTCTGACCCACCCTTTCCTCTTCTGCAAAATGGGGATACTACTGCCTACCTACAAGGGGATCCTACAAGGGAAATAGCTACGACTGAGCTGGACACTGGGCCCATTATTTGCTTGGCCCTGAGTGGTACTCAGGGAAAATCTGGTTTATGGTCGCTTCAGTTTGTGTTTTTAGGTGGTTCTGAGGTTGAAGCCAGGGCCTTCGTACTGAGCTATGTCCTCAGCCCTTTGAACTCTTTCGAGACAGGGTCTCACTAAATTGCTAAGTTGTCTACGATGGATTCAAATTTTGATCCTCCTGCCTCAGCCTCCCAGAGTTGCTGGGATCACGGCCGCATGCTACTTCTCCCAGCGTGGGTTACGTTCTCATCTCTGTAGCAGCAGCTCTGCGACCCCGCCGCAGGCAAAGCTCCCACGGGGAGAGGGCCACACCGCACCCGAGGGACACTGCTCCTTTTCTATCTGCTCCCAGAGAGGCCGCCCGGCTCCAGCCACCAGCTGTGCGCTCTCAGGACAAAGGAGATGGGACAGCCAGGCTCCTGTGTCACTGGTCCCAAGAGGCTCCCCACCACCCCACTGCACAAGGCAGCTAGGGACCCCGTGAAAGGTGAGTTATTTTAAGCCTCTCCTGGGCCCCACAGCCCAAGCAAACCAACAGCTTCGGAACGAAGCCCAGAAAGGTTTTTAAGGCCTCTCGTTCTGCCAGCAACACACTTAACACGTAAAGATGCTCACCACCTCTCTTGGGTTCGCTTTGTGCTAAGCTTTCGTTCAGAGGAAGACAAAGCAAAACCCCCAAAGCCTCCGATCAATGGAACCCAACCACCGCTCGCCCCCTCCGCCCCTCGCTGGCGCTGCCGGGCTGAGAAGGAGCAGAGAAGCCAGAGCGCTGCTTTCCTGCCAACGCCTTCCGAGCGGACAGACGGAGCTGCTGCTGAAATCGGCTTCTTTTTATAACCAGGAATGAGGCAGGGAAGCCAGCCAAGGAGCAGGTTGGCCCGAGGTCCCTGCCAAGCAGCCGCGGAAAAAGCCAAGGTCGGTCAGGCGCAAGGGAAGCAAAGGCCAGAGGGGAGCGAGGGGGCACTGGGGTGGGGATGAGACCCCGGACATCATCACAAAGCTAGCACAAGGCATCCGCAGCCCACAGCCTCCGGGAGTGCTTTCTGCGTCACCACCCGAGGGCTCCAACATGGGGCCAGGTGACAGGGGACCGAAACCCACACCACCTACTGCTGTCTGCTGCCAGGCCCGCCAGCCCCAGCCCCCGGCTCACTTTTGCTTGGCAGCTCCTCCGGGCCCAGGCTGTTGCAGGGAGCTGCTGGGGCGCCGCCACCCTCCTCCATGGTCAGGATGAGGGGCACATCATCGTCCAGATTCACGGCCATGCTCCTCTCTCCCGCGTGCCTCAGGAGGTGATGTCCAGGGCTGTCAACAGTCTCTGGTTCGAGCTGCTTGTCAAAGCCGCAGGCCCCACGGTGCTTCTCAGAAACTCCTCCATTAGAGGCATCTTCTAGGGTTTGGAACATAAGAAAGAAAGACAGTTATTAAAGGGTAACCACCACTGAAAAATACGCGCTGGAGTTAGGAATTAGGTGGTGGGGATGGCTGCACGGTCCTTGCAAAGGTACCAAAAGCCATCAAATTATACGCACTCTTTAAGTGGGATCTTTTTTTTTTTTTTTTTTTTAATCAGTACCGGGGATTGAACTCACGCCTGCCTGCTTACAAGGCAGGCACTTATGCCGCTGAGCTAAATCCCCAGCCCCACATGCACTCTTTTAAATGGTGACTCTTCGGTGCGTGAATTAGACCTCTCTTTAAAAAGAACAATGGTTGAGTTTGAGTCTCAGCACCAAAAAAAAAGAGTGACAGGGGCTGGGGATTTAGCTCAGCAGCACAGTGCTTGCCTGGCAAGTGCGAGGTCATGAGTTCGATCCCTGGTACCAAAAAAAAAGAATGACATCAAGCTGGGCAAGGATGCCTATCTGTCATCTAAGTACCCCAGGAGGCTGAGGCAGGAGGATTGTAACTGCATGCCCAACTTGGGCAACTTAGTGTCTTACAGAGGACGCTGTCTCAAAATAAAAAAATATGAAAAAAAAGCACTGGGGATGTAGCTCAGAGCAAAGGCTTTGGGTTCAATGCCTGCTGTTTTTCAGCCTCTTGGCTAAGATCAAGAGTCTGGGTACAATGCTCAGTACCACACAGTTTAAAAAGAAAAAGTACTAAGGGTATAATAGTGTCAAAACAGCAGACCAACTAGAAGAACAAACACGGAAAAGTTAAAGGCAACTGTGTCTGGCCAAAGAGATTAGAGCAAGTATGTTCCGTCTCCACCTTCTTTTACAGTCTTCTGTTAACTCTGCAAAGATACTAAAGAAAAAAAGGACAGTCAGAGTGACAGTACATGCCTCCTTGCTGTGGCAGGGACTCTACCATGATTGTTTTTCCCACTTGAAATCTGTAAGTTCATTAACATCTCATAATAGTCTCCTACCAAGGTAGGCTTATCAACCCCATTCCAGAGGAAAAAGCCAGACACACAGAGGTTCAGTAATTTGCTGACAACCCACAGCTAAAAAGTCATGTTCTGAACCTCACCATCTGGCATCAAGCCTGGGTTCCTGTTCGTCACAGCACCCCCAAGTCTCCAACATCTGCCTTTTAAGCAACACCCATCTTCAATGACCATTAAAAAGTTAGCACCCCTATCACCAGTGCGTCCCATTAAAAACAAACACAAAAGCAGCTTCAGTTTAACTCTAAGGACCACACACCAACTCTCAGATCCCCCTGAACCAGGCTGGTAAACAACAGATACTGTCATGCAGACACTGTTCTCCTAGCTTTAGGTGCTTGAGAAGAAAAGGAGACAAATATATATATATAAATTTTTTTAAATGATATCCAAATGTTCATCTGTAACTCCAAATTGAAAACACTTGGAACTGGCCGCTAGTTTCTATTTATACGTTCCTGTTTCCTCCAAGGAGGACCAAAAGAACCAGAGACTCAGCAGATTTCCCCGCAGACTTCTGAACTTGAAAACAGCGGCAGGTCCCTTCCTCAGGCTGTATTCTCTGTGCTCTACTGACTTGTCTCTAAACTGACCCGCGGAACTGACCAGCAGGGCAACAGACTTTTTTCCAGATCATCAGGTAACTCAGGGCACATCTCTGTGCATGTATGCGGAAAGGTACATATTTTTTAAAATAAGGCAGCAGGAATAAAACACTGCTGCGTGTTGCTAAGCCCACAGCAATCTGCCCACCGAACTTCCTAAGAGAGGAGTTTTTAAAGTTTTCTCCCGATCTAAGGATTTCTTTTGCTCTTCAATGAGGCGGGAAAGCAGGCTCAACTTTTTACCAAGGAGATCTTCAAACATATTCACGAGCAGAGAGAATATCTTAAGTGAACTTGCATGTGTTGCCTGGCTTTGCCACTGATCTCCTTCTATTTGTTTTGAAGGCTGGAGACTTTACCAACCCCCTAACTCATCAGAGGCTACAGGGCCAGAGATTGAGCTCAGTGGCATAAGCGCTGTCTGGCAAGCTCGAGGTCCCAAGTTCAATCCTCAGTACCAAAAAAAAAAAAAAAAAAAAAGAGGTTTCTAGACTTCGTCATATTACCAAAATAGCTGGTGGTCTTACGGAAGTCTGCTTGTTTATACTCAGTGTCTGAGTCAGTGGCTCTCTGGGTCAGGGTGATTCTGCCCCCAAGGGACCTCACTGTTAGGAGATATTTTGAACATCACAGATGGGGTGACTGCCAGTGAGCAGAGACCAGGAAAAACATCCTACCATACACAGATGAGCCTCACACACACAAGTGATGCGGCTGGAAACACCAAGGGTACTGCTGGTGATGAGTCCTCTCTTAGTTAATATCCCCTACCTTACAGAGGAGGAAACTGAGGCTTGAGGCTTAGAGTCGTTAAATAGTCTTGTAAGTGAACAGCAAGGAAGTGGTACAGAAGCCAGGTTTCAACCCAGATAGGCTGAATTCTGAGACACTCCTTGGTTGACCATTACTGTAACCACTCCCGAACCAGTTCTCCAATTTGAATCCAAACCCATCAAAGAAAAATGAGGCCCAGAGAGGGGAAGGGACTTGCCCAAGGTCGCACAGTGCAGGTGCAGAGCTAGAACTCGGGACTCCTGAGTGCTCGCTCTGTGCTCTTCTGCAGGCTTTACATCTGTCTCCCTCTGAAGGACCCCAAAGGTCACCCCTGGGGAAAGGTCCCGCGGGCACTGTGCTGGCTGCCATCACGCCGCCCTCTGGGACAGTCTGACCCGGGCAGACAGTCTCCTGCGGGGTGAGCTGAGGACGCTGACGAGGTGACAGGGCAACAGAGGGAGGCTGAGGCAGGAGTGCCGCCGCGCTGCACGTGCTCCGCGTGCTCAGAGGGGCCCCACGTGGGGGTCGCCCAAGAAGCCAGGGGCGGGAAAAGATGTGCACACCCCCAGCACCGTTTAGAGGGAGAAAAGTGGAGCATTTTCTTCCTCGAGAGCCCGACGGGTCCACCCCGCCAGCCTCCCACACCCAGGCGCCCAGTCCCAACCTCTCTCCGCACCCTCTCACCCCTGACCCCTGCCCTTTCCCTCGGACAGAGCCCTCGCGCCCTCTGGATTCTTACACGCGCCGCCCTGGGAACCCGGACCGCGCACTGGGGTCCGCACACCACAGCACAGCCCGTAGGCGCCACTGCCAAAGCCCCGAGCCCGGAGCTGCCGCAGACCCTACAGCCGCCGATACTCCAGCCGCTGCCACCACTGCAGCTGCGCCAGCTCTTGCCTCCACCGCCTACTGTCCTCTCCACCCTACCGGCCCCGCCCCACTTCCTCTCCGCCGTGGTCCATTGGGCGCCTGGGCTGCCATGCTGAAGTCTTATTGGTTAACACTTACGTCCTTCCCCAGTTCTCATCCATTGCTGATGAGAGGACTTAGTGCCCGCCTCCTTAGAAGGGGAAGCTCCACCTCTTCCCTCTCATTTCCCCCCCACCCCGCTTTACTCTTTCTGCCCCACCCACACGGAGTCTCGGGTCTTTCAATTGGAAGAACGTCAGAAGTACTTTGCTTCTGATTGGTCAGAATTTAGGAGGCGGCCTTAACAGAGCAAAATAAGGGGTTCAATGGTGAAAAAGAAAGTCAGTCAGTCACCAAGTCCCGCCTTCTGAGATTGGCGGGTAACCTAGCAACGCGAGGACCGAGAAACCACTGTGGAGGAGAGGTCCTGGAGCCTACGGAACACGTGAATGAAAGGCCGGGAAGGGGTGGAGGTGAGGGAAATTTGGATTGAAGTGTTAGCCTACGCTTCCTTGGCTGCTCAAAAATCAGTCGCCTCGAATCCAACCTCATCCCAGTTTAGGATCTTGCTCCCAAGCCTCTGACTCGGTCTGTACCTCCCACTTCACAAGGCATCCTGTTTAAGGTCTCTGCCCTTCTTCCGACCCCTGTGCTTGTCCATTCCCTGGCCCTTCTTTCTCTTCTGTATAATGGGGATGAGCCTGGTGCCATGGAACACGTCTAGAATCCCAGCACTCTGGGAGGCTGAGGCAGGAGAATCGCAAGTTTGAGCCAAGCCTGGGCAACTTACAGAAATCTTGTCTCAAAAAAAGAAAAGAGTGTTACTCAGTGCAAAAGGCCCTGGATTCAATCGCCAGTACCACAATAAATAAATAAATGGCAGAATATCTGTCAAGTAGAGGTACCATTAATTGATTTGAAGTCAAACGTAGATGGTGAAGTGAGAGGGTGGTTTCTAAGTAGCCCACCTTTCGGCCCATAGCGAGCATACAACAAAAAGCATCTCACTTGAGCGAGTGCTTAAATTATTTTGACTATACAATTTTGGTTTTTCATTGTAACTTTAGAATTTAGCCTGGCAAGGTGGTGCACACCTCAAATCCCAGCACTGGGGAAGCTGAGGCGTAAGCATCACCCATGAGTTCTAGGCCAGCCTGGACTACACAGTGAATTGAAGGCTATGTAGCTATGTAGCGAGACTTGTCTCAAAAAAAGAAAAAAGTTTAACTCCCATTTCTGTCCTTAAAAAGTGATCTCCTCTATTAACACAAAGAGTTTCTTATGAGGATTACATGGGGCAAGGCTGTGACGTGTTTGGCATGGAGCAGTGCCAACAAACTGCTCAGAAAAAAAAATGGCAACTTTTCCCCCCTAAAACACCCCCAACCAAGGGCTGGCGATTTAGGTCAGCTGCTCAAATGCTTGCCTGGTAAGCACAAGATCAGGTGTTCGATCCCCGATACCAAAAAAACCCACATACAACCTTAACTCTGTACTTACTATAGCTGTTTGGAAGTACCCTTGGTCCACATGTTAAATATTCATAATAATTACTAATTAATATTCGTAATATTTAAATATTCATAAGGGAAGCCACATCCCTCCCATCATGGAGCCTGAGACAGGAGAAACCATTAAGGCAGCCGTGTGGTACAGATGGATGTCAGATCTCACCGTGGAGATGTGCTTCCACCATGATGCCCTGAGGAGCTGGCAAGTCCTGTCCTGGGTTAGCTCTAACACGGCCCCACTTCTCTTGTGTTTGGAGGGGAGTGGGGCCTGAGGGCTCTAACTTCACCTAGAATAGAATCACAATTTGATGGCCTTCCTGGGGTGACGGCCTCATTAAAAGGAGTGGGTCATGGAGTGACCTTGGACAGGATCTTGTTCCTAGCCTCTCTTGTTCCTCCCCTTTCTTTCTGTTCCCTGGCTACTGTAGGGTGAGCAGCTGTGCCCCACATCTGTGCATCCTGTGCAGTGGAGCCAGCCAGCCACGGACTGAAACCTCTCAAACTATGAGCCAACATAAATCTTTCACCAGGTGCGGCGGCGCACACCTGTAATCTCAGCGCTTGGGAGGCTGAGGCAGGAGGATCACTGTGAGCGTGAGGCTATGCTGGGCTTCATAACGAGTTCAAGGGCAGCTGAAACTACATAGCAAAAGCCTGTCTCAATAAAAGAAAAAAAAGAAAGAAATTTGGACATCTGCAATAACAGATGAATGATCCTGGAAGGAACCGAAAAAGCCAGGCACATAATGACAAATATTATCTGACACAACTATCTATGGTATCCCAGTTCAGAGAGAAACTAGAATGGTGGCTACCAGGTGCTACGGGGAGGGGCATAGAGGAGGAATTCTCACTTTAATGAGTACAAAATTTCAGGTTTGGGGTGAGGAAGCATTCTGGGGATGGACGGCATTGATAGTTGTATGTAAAATGTAACATTCTTAATGCTACTCAGCTGTGTCCCTAAAAATAGTTAAAATAGCACCTCAGTTACTTTTTCACTGCTGAAACAAATACCTGACTCCGGGAAGTGAAGGGAGGAGAGGCTGATGTTAGCTCACAGTTCCCAGAGCTTCCAGTCGGTCTGGCTGCAGGGCATCACAGAGGAGGAACAGGTCACGGTGGGCAGGGGCAGCCATCTGAAGCAGCAGCATCGCTCTGTAAGCCAGGCTGGCCTTGCGCTCACAGCAGTCCTCCTGCCTCAGCCTCCCGAGTGCTGGGATTACACGTGTGCACCAGCACGCTTGGCTTTCCCTTTTGTCCTTTGCAGGCTACAAGCCTATGGGTTGGTGCCACTAGTTTAGTTCCACACACCCTTAATTCCAATATCATGCTCCCTGTATTCAGCCAGCTCTGACAAGCCTCATCTGTGAGTGCGTGAGGCTTGGGGGAGACATGGAGGTAGAAGCCATAAACCTGGTAAACTTTATGTTATGTTTACCACAGTTAAAAAGCAACCAGCAGGGCTGGAGGTTTAGCTCAGCAGCATAAGCACCTGCCTTGGAAGCAGGCAGTCGTGAGTTCAATCCCTGGTACCGATAAAAAGGAAAAAGACAAAAAAAAAAAAGCAACCAGCAGACTGAGGATTTAGCTCAGTGACGCAGTGCCTGCGTGGCAAGCATGGTCCTGAGTTTGATTTCCAGTAATCCTCTCCCCATCCATCCCCCCAAAAAAAGCAAATAGAAAGCTGAATGGAATGGCCTAGGGCTAGCTCAGCATTCTGAAAATCGACCAAGGCATATAACCATCCGAGAGCATTGATTCCTGGCAACTCCTGACCTGGCATCTGTGGTGTGCTCACCTGGGGTCTCTCACAGTGGCCAAGCCGTGTTCCACAGCACAGCGTTCAGCCAAGTGTGCAGCCCATGATGGCCAGTGGCCTCCTGCCACTGCCTGAGGGGCTCACTGGATTTGGAGTATTGGCTGGAAGAAGAAGAAGAAGGGGAGGGGGAAGGAAAGGGAAAAGGAAAGAGAGAAAGAGGAAGAAAGAGCAAGAAAGAAAAAAAAAAATGATCTGACCATTGACTGCCTTGGCCGGCAGAGAACGGAAGCCTTACAGGGTCAAAGTGTTTAAACACAATTTCTGGTTGATTTCTGGCTGGAACCTGATGCTGTGAGATACAGGATGACCCCTAAGAAGTCAGGTTTAAAAATATAAAGAAGAAAAGAAATATTTCCAAGGCATGGTGGCGCATTCCTGTAACCCCAGCCCTCGGGAGCTGGGGCAGAAGGATCACGGTGAGTTTGAGGCCGGCCTGGAATACATAGGGAGACCCTGTCTCAAGACAAGCACAGAAAACTTCAGTGGAGTCGCACACTGTGGAGGGGACTGACCTGACGGGTTTAGTCCGGGAAGTTACTCACCGAACAATAAACAAGGCAAGAAGTCTCATTTTGCAGAACGGTTCAGCCTGCAGAGCTGCTACAGTGTTTTACCTAAAACTTCCAGCATGCATCAAAAAACTGCGAGATGTGCAAAGAGACAAGGAAGTATAAATACACACAGGAAAATCAAAAGCAGTGACTGGGAACTATCTATGTTTTCCCCAGATTTAGCGCACGAAGACTTCAAAACAGCTAAGAAGCATATTTGAAGAATTAGAAGGTATGATGACAATGATTCGTCCTATTGAAAATAACGTTTTTCTCATTTTGTCTCTTCATTAAATATATATATATATATATATATATATATATATATATATATATATGATGGAAATATAGCTCAGTGGTGCAGCACCTGCTTAGCAAGTGTAAGGTCCTGAGTTCGATTTTCAGTAACTAAAAAAAAAAAAAAAAATTGGGATTGGGATGGAGTTTAGTGGTTAGAGTACTTGCCTGGCATGCTGAAGCTCTGGGTTAGCACTGAAAAAAGAACAGATGGCATAAAGCAATATTTATGAGGCTACTGTTTGGCTTGTAAAATATCAATGTTAGCTGGGCATGGTGGCACACAGCTGTAGCACCAGCACTGAGGAGGCTGAGGCAGGAGGATTGCTGTGAGTTCAAGGCCAGCCTGGACTACATAGAGAGTTCAGAGCCAACCTGAACTACAAAACAGAATGCTGTCCCAGAAAACAAAACAAAACAAAATGTATCAATGTAGCAGGAGGCTGGTGGGACACACCTGTAATAGCACTTGGGGGCCTGAGACAGGAGGAGTCCAAGGCAAACATGGGTGGCATGGCAAGACCCTGCCTTAAATAAGTAAATAAATAAAAATTACAGACCAGGATCAGCAATCTACAACTCAAAGGCTATGTCTGAGTTCACCTCTTTTTGTAAGTAAAATTGCCAACTTATCACACACACACACACACACTGAGCTACATCCCCAGTCCCCTTTCTATTTTTCTTTCTTAGTTTTGAGGCAGACTGCTAAGTGTCTAAGTTGCCCATTCTTGCAATTCTCCTGCCTCAGCCTCCACAGGGTGCTAGGATTACAATCATGCACCTCACAGACTGTTTATGCCTTTGCCCCACAACAGCAGAGTCCAGCCATTGCAAAGAAACTATATAATGACAAAGCCAAACATATTTACTATTTGGCCCTCACACAGAAAAAAAGTTGCCAAACCCTGCTACAGAAAAACATCCCTCAAGAAAATAGATGCAAAATATTGACAAACCAAATTCTGCAGCATGCAAAAAGGATTAAGCACCATGACCAAGTGAGATTTATTACAGAAATGCAAGATCGATTAGACATCTGAAAACCAATGTAATATGCCAATGAATAGAAGCTCGAGAACATGGAGAAACTGGGGCTCTCCTGCACTGTTGGAGGAAAATGAAACGGTCCAGCCCGTTGGAATTGCCTGTCAGTTTCTGAAAAACAGTTAAACTCACTCACCAGCAGTTGCTTCCTAGGAACTGAGTCAAGACAAACACAAGCATATGCCCACGCGAGGACTTCTGTGTTAATATTCTTAGGTGCACTAACCCTAATGGCCCCGAACTGG